ACGGACAATTCCACAACTCCTACCACCACTTTTCCACACTCGCTATATTTACTTTATTGCATCTTTATCTAAACAACCCCTACTTTTTATTTACATGTTCTTTATTATCTTGCAAACCTATCCTATCACACCTACAAAGTACCTCTAGTTTCATACTTGTTCTAGGTAAAGCGAACGTCAAGCGTGCGTAGAGTCGTATTAGTGGTCGAAAGGACTTGAGAAAGTATTTGTTCTACCTTTAGCTCCTCGTTGGGTTCGACACTCTTACTTATCGAAAGAGGCTACAACTATCCCGTATACTTTAGGGTTATCATACCCCGCTGGCGCCGGCGGGCGCGGATGAGGCGAGGCGAGGCGGGCGTAGGCGCCCCGCGAGATGTCCCAGCGGTGAGGGTGGTGTAATGAACACGAGCCTTGACCTTCTTCATCCGGCGTTCCTCCAAGCGTAGATACGCGGCGATGGAGTGGAAGGTCGGGTTCGGCAGCAAGGTGAGGTTGGAGGCCGCGTTGCCGAAGTCCTCGTGGAGGCCGACATTGAGGGTGCTAAGCATGAGATCGTCAGACACCTTGCCGCCGATGTCGCGGAGCTCGTCAGCGAGCCGCTTGAGGCGCATGCAGTAGTCAGCGATGGAGGAGTCATCTTGGTGGCACCCAAAAAATTCCTGCTGCAAAAACACAAGACGTTGAAGCTTATTGTCGGTGAAGAGGGCGTTAATCTTGGTCCACATGGCACACACGTCGTCATCCTCCGAGACGACCGTGTGGAAGATGTCCGGCGAGACGGTGAGGTAGAACCACCGAAAGAGGGAGGCCTCAATGACCGCCCAGTCCAGATCGCCTGCCATGAAATCGCCATCAACTGTCCCGTCGACGTGCTCGAGGAGGTGGTACTCGCGGAAGACAAGTTTGAAGTAGGTCTTCCACGCGTAGTACGAGGAGTTGGATTGGTCGAGCTTGATGGGGACGTAGGTGTGAATGTCAAGATCGCGAACGGCGGTGGCGTCGGGCTCGGGACCGGCGAACAGATTCGAGTTGCTGGAGTAGGGGGACGCCATGGAGCTGCGACGACGAGTGGAGGGTGTCGGCGGCTCGAGAGGGTTGGGGGCTAGCGGCGGCGGCGCGGGTTTAGGGTTTTGAAGGGTGGCGCGCGGCGGCTAGGATGGGAGGGGCGTGGTGCAGCGGCGGGAGAGGGAGGGGCGGCGGCGGCGGCAAGGAGGGGATGCGGTGCGGCGGCGGCGGCGACTGTAGGGTGGCGGCGGCAGGATTAGGCGGAAGCACTGATACCATGTTAGTTGGAAGGAGGAGATTGCATGCATCGATAATTCATTGATCGTGTGCATGATGCATATATAGGTACAGAATGGATCGGTCTCTACTTGTCTCCCAAGATGTACAAATATACGAGGGGGGGAGAGAGAGATACAGCGGTATAAATATAGATCCAAGTCCTGTACACATGGAGTGGACAACGTACGCTCAACACTCTAGGTTTTGTTTCTTTCTGATTTTCTTAGATTTCATTTTTCTTTGATGTATAGCTTTGTTTCTTTTTTCCGTTGAACCTTTTGGTTCAACATACTCTGTACTATTTATTTGAAAATCAAGAAAAATAAGCAGGAGAGTCCTGTCCTCCTAAAAAAGGGAAAGAAAGAAGAGGAACGAGAGTAGAGAGGAAAAAGGAGCGTGCAAACGTGGTGGTGCTGCTAATGGACTGGACGGGCCACAAATGCATAGGTATTACTAAAAAAACTCAAAACCCTGGGTGGGCCACGACCTGGTTTGGCCCCTATGTAGCTCCGCCCAGTGCATCGAACATCGAATAATTCTTAGTTCTTATGTTTTTATCATACTTATTTGAATTCTTAGTTCATCTAGACCATATGTTGTGTTAGAATTGGAATGGTTATATTGAGAACATTATTTTCTTACATATTTGAATTGTATGCACCTTTTTTTTGCAGGAAAAAATTGGAAGTTTTATTCCTTAACTGTTTAAGTTTATAATTAATATATTGTGATAAGTCTAAAACAATTTTGAAGATTGACAAAATGAACTTTTTAGGACAGAGAATATGCTAGACGAGCAAAAATTTAGGAAGAAAGGGTTTTGCACTTTTAGGATAGGCATGTGCTGTTGCACACCATCTTCCGTGTCACCAAAAAGGAGAAGCAGGTCATATCATCCGGCATCGGTGTTCCAGCAAACCCGTAGTCGCGTAGTACTAGTTTGGCATCATCGCATTGGTTTAGCTCATGGGTGGCTGATGAGTGATGGCTATATCCCAATCATGCAGCCAACCTTACATGCACCATCACATGGCCATGTGCAAGGCAAAAATGCGTAGCTAATAGCTTCATTATCGACGGTCCAATAAAATGGAACCCGAGCCGAAAGGGATAAAATTGAAAATGATGCCAACTATAGTACTGTACTGTGCACGCGCATCATCATGGCCATTGTATGTTGGCGCTCTCTTTAACAGTCGCCGATTGACGCAGGTAAATTCGTATAAGAAAAACAGGAAGAGCTAACGGTGTCGATTTCATATACTCTAGTACTACTACCGCATCTGAGAACGTAGAGGGAGGGACAAATATTCAAACGTGCACTTTACGTGTGACACGGGATTCAAGATAGAACACGAGGCCGAACCACTTTTCTGTAACAGACTATGCCGAAAACCCACCATATCGGCATCGGCTGTATCCCAGTGTCAGGTTGCAGTTTCGATCATACAGGCGTGCAAAGAGAGAGAGAGAGAGATGCACGAGAGAGAGAGAGAGAAAAACAAAGTGCCAAAGCTGCACGTACTCCATGCCGCTGTCACTTTAACCCATTTTACCCAAGCACAGTAATTACCTCGCAAAAAATATTACGTAGCACATCAGTTAAACAAAGGGTCATCAAGTACGCTCCGCTGCAAACCGCAGCTGCGCCACAAACACCAACCGATGACGGTGGGCCCGGCAAAACAAATTCCTCCCCTCCCCCACTGCCGAAAAGGGCGCCTTTACTGTAGAGTCCAAAGGACGTGCGCCCGGCGGTGGCCCGCACCACGGCATTTTGCGGGGGGCGAGCGGCAGCCCCACGAACCTTCCGCCGTGGACCTCGTGCACCGGGCCGGCGCCGGCACACCTGGCGGTGTCCTTGCCCTCGGGGCCGGGGGACGCTAGTCGCCGTCGCCTCGTCGGTGCGGCCCCGTCGGTCCGGTCCTGGAGCGCCGGGTCCAGCGAGGCGCTTTCACCCGCCGCGGCAGAGGACATGACCGTTTCGAGCTACGCGTACAGAATGGACGCAGGTTTGCTGCAGGGATGATTAATGCTGCTGTCCCTCGTATGGACCCGGTGCATAGATAGAGTGATGGAAATCTCTTTGCTCCAAGGGAAAACAATGACAGTACTGTTTTTTTTCCTTTTTTGCGGGGGTACAGTATTTTTTTCTTAGCTGGACGGAAAAGTACGCCTTGGTATTTTCTTTCTTTAGATTTTAGAGAAGAGTGCGTCTTGGTACTTGAGTACTGGACTACTTTCAAGTTAACGAAAAAACAATACGTACTAGCGGTACTTGACCATTGTGGCTTATGGGGTTTCCCATTGTTTTCTTGCTTGTGGGTTTTGTTTTACTTTGCTTGTAAGCTTCAGCATTTTTAGACAGACGAGTAAAGAGTCTCCAGCACAAGGAACTTTCTTACAAAATGTATTACAACAGCAAAGAGAATACTGGATTTTGTAAATTATAGCAATTTTTACCAATTCGTTTCATTGTACCGTAGAGAAAACATAGTACTCGTGATTTAGACTTTGAGCACTGATGTGTGTGAAAGTATATGGCATGAACACGTAACAAATAAAACCGTTGTATCAATGTTGCAAAAGTAAAAATGGCATGTGCCATTTTTGCTAAATTTGTAAGCGCGTTATAAGGGGAATCCTATTCAACATCATGCAGTGGAAACTATGAAAAAAAGACCGTGAAAGGGTAGTTATGTATATGTCTCTCTTTCTAAGTGTTACTAGTGATGGTGCACGTGCAGAGCCCATTTTACTAACATACTTTTTCCTTTTGACAAAAATAACTAACATACTCGAAAGATGAATCAAGGACATTTTCTTAACATCCACATGTATATTTTTTAATGAAATTTTACATGTTTCATACCTTTTACGTTATTGATGTGGAAGAAAAACTATATAAAAAGTGTTATGCATTTGTAAATAAACACTAGCAAATATTAATTTAATCATATTACAAGCACAATAACACTTTTAGCCCACAAATATCAACCATCACAAAAAAATGTTGAATTTAGGAATACATTTTGAAATTTGTCTATACAAAATCATGTGCATCTCAAGATCAATGGCATGATTTTTGCATTGAAGAAATATCACACGAAAGCATCAATGACATGTGACAAATGAATTAGGGCATAATCAATAGATAATACAATATGATTACAATATTATAAAAGTAGCACACAAGGATTCATTGTGCACGGCCATTTGATTAGAAAAATATGATACTCGTACTTGAGTAAAAAATAGGACAAGTCAAAGCAAGAGTAGCTCAACTTAGCTCGTGTCGCGGTTTCTTATGGTGAACCAACACATGAGGGTTCAAGTCTTAGATTTGCATCGGTAATCGTATTTTTGTGAATTTATTTCAAGCCTTCTGATCATGTGCTTTCAATGGAAGGAGACGTTCCCGTCGACTACGAAGACGTCTGTGAGTCCGTGACGGCTTGATCAATCTTAAGATGATGTGTAGGCTCAGTCTCTCGAAGGTGCTCGTGGAAGAGTAGGCGTGCGTGTGTAAATAGGGGGTGAGTGTCGGTGTGTATATATAAGCGGTTGCATTTGTACTGTGTTAAAAAAAACTTGAGTCGTGCCATTCATATTGATAGAGATATAAAAGTGTTTTTAAGTTTTTTGAGTTGTTTCAATTAGTATGGAAAACCACAGACCGGAAGTATATAAAAGATTTTATTGTCTTTAAATAAATGTTCGATCCCCAAAAAAAACTTATAAATCGACAGAAAGCAACTAGTACACTTTCCGCAAGCTCGAGGAGCCAAAAATCACGGAGGGGCATATCTATGAGCCGAGTCCACGCAGCACTGAGCGCCACTGCATTGCAGGTGAGCAGAGCAGACCAAGGCAAAAGCTCGCTCTCCCTCTCCCTCTCAGGCTCTCACACGGCTTTCCCTCTCTCTCTCTCTCTCCTCCCGTTCGAACTAGGAATCCGAGGTGAGCACGGGCAAAGCGATGGGCGCGGCCAGGCCGCATCACAGGGCGCCGCCGGGGCGCGTGCCCACGAGGTGCGTCGCCGCGCTCTGCGCCGCCTGCTTCCTCCTCGGCGTCTGCGTCGTCAACCGGTTCGCATTCACCCCCCACCCACCCAATCCGCCGTTTCTCCCGGATTTCTCGCTCTCTGCTCCTTACCCGCTCCCAATCTCTTCCTCTCGCCGCGAGCTGCTCCAATGCTCGTCGGTTTCCTGGGCGGAGGTGGTGACGTTTGCTCTACTTTTGCAGCTACTGGGCGGTCCCCGAGCCGCCGGATTGCCCAAACAAGGTAATGCGCCGCTCCGATTCAATCCCCTCTCTTCCGTTGATGTTTATCTGGCTGCGCATTGCCAACTGGCCCGGTTTTGCAGACGAATTCTGGCCGTTCGAGGGCTATGCTGAGCCAAGCACAAACCCGCGAAGTCGTCATGTAATGCCTGAACCTTGAGCTGCCATGAATCTTTCCTTCTGGTTTGGATTTGCTTATTCTGCTTCTGTTTGGCAGCGCGTTGGACAGAACGATATCGGACATCGAGATGCGCCTGGCTGCCGCCAGAGCCGCGCAGATGAGGAACCAAGGCGTGTCGCCGAGTGATTCAGCCGCTGACCACGGAAACATGCGACCTAGATTGCTTTTCGTCATGGGTATCATGACCACGTTCGGTAATCGGAGGCGCAGAGACTCTATCAGGAAGACGTGGATGCCACAAGGTAGAGCCTGTAAGACATGGTACTTCCAATTGTTTATGTTTCATTCATACCAGTTTTCTACCATCTAAATACGGTGCTCTGTCTCTAGGTGAGCGTTTGCGAAGGCTGGAGAAGGACAAGGGCATTGTCATGCGTTTTGTTATTGGACGAAGGTATGGTATGGCTGAGTTTAAAAATCTGGGAAAGAGATAGTCAATGTTCCTGCTTGACACGCTACTGAGTTTTGGTGCTTACATCTTGCAGTGCAAATCCTGGTCCTGACAGTGAAGTGGAGCGTGCCATGGATGCAGAAGATAAAGAATACAATGATATTCTTAGACTTGTATGCTGAGTCGACTACTTTCAACTACTTTAGCTTTTACCTTACCAATGACTAACAATATTGACGCCCTTTGCAGAATCACGTTGAAGGCCAGGATAGGCTTCCTTTGAAGATTCAGATGTTTCTTTCAAGTGTTCTGTCCACGTGGGATGCTGATTTCTATGTCAAAGTTGACGATGATGTTCATGTCAACATTGGTATGCCTACACTACACAGAACCCTTTGTTGCTGGTAAATGTTTCGCTGGTATTCTCATGCACTGAGGTTTTCTCTCTTAACACAGGTATTACCAGATCGATTTTGGCACGACATAGGTCAAAACCTCGGGTGTACATCGGCTGCATGAAATCCGGACCTGTGATTGCTAACAAGTAACACTCAAGAAACCCATATTGCCTCCAATTGATTAAAATATTAAACATATGGAGAAATGTGTCAGGCGAGAGCTTCCATTTTTTTTAATGACAATGCAAACTCGTGATATGAACTGTCGAGTGGTGTGGAGAAAGAAGTATCATCCGTCCGACAGTGGAAGTTAGTCATGCTATGTGCTAGCAAAGCAATTGTTTCATTTTTCAGATTGTTCATTCCTATTCTGATCGGATAATGAAAATAATGAGTTTTGCATTCTCTTATTTACAACTTACAAGGACAGGTCTTACTAGAGATGCTCCCAAATAGATGGTTTCATTTTACTGACATTTCTTCTAAAATTTGGAGTAATATAATGTGGTAATGCCTGCTTAATGTTCACAGTGAATCTAAATATTACGAACCAGATCATTGGAAGTTTGGGACTGCGGGTAACAACTACTTTAGGCACGCAACACGGCAGCTGTATGCTATAACAAGGGACTTGGCGACCTATGTATCAGCAAACAAGTGAGTCCTAAATTTCTGATGTGGATATGCAATGCCTGATAAAATGGATTACTTTACTGCTTCATCTCATATCTGTTTGACATCATTTTCAGGCATATCTTGCACAAATATACAAATGAAGATGTATCATTTGGTTCTTGGTTGATTGGGTTGGATGTTGAGCATGTTGATGAGAGAAGCCTTTGTTGTGGTATTCCTCCAGGTTGGCATCTCGCTTCTTTATTGTTGATTTTCCATTTTGCTTCAGCATACTGTCCTATTTTATCTAGATAATTATTGCATGCTCATTACGACATCGCTTAACCTGGAAGTTATATGCTTTACAGTACTATAAGTAGTTGAGCCAATCATTTTGAATTTTGTACTGAGAAAAAGATGATACAATTGTCTTACCAAACTACAGTGTTTGTCTTACCAACTACAGTGTTTGTTAGCACATAGATTCAAGACTTGCCTTTACCACCTTTCTGTCCCCCAGCTCCCCAGAAGTTGCTCTTTACACCAAACATGTCGGCACATCACATGAATATTTCATTCCATCACATGAATATTTCATTCATCTGAATGTTACCATCACTTAGTGGTTACTACTTGATTACTTTTAACCTGAATGACCCTCAGAATAAGACAGACGCGAGTGCCTGTTGCTTGCAAATCTAGTGGGTGTTGACCTATCTTCTCTCTCAGTTACTCTTTTGTCGCTTGCACTTCAGTAGGCATGGACACAACACATGGCTCTATCTTTGTACAATGTGGTTAGTGACCATAAGTACAGTATTTTGTTTTTAGACCATCAGTACGTCATTCTTATATCTCTGACTCTGGGGATATATTTACTTCACCAACCATCATTGCCAGCCCTGGTATGTGTTGTGATAATGTGATGCAAAGTCTACCTGGCATTTGCTACCATCCAACATCAGTCAACCTGGCATTTGCTGCAATTGCAAAGCACTTCTGCTTGCTGTTCAGATTGTGGAAACATAAGGCAGGTGACGCACATTTTCATGTGCCATCTTCTCTGATCATGCAGACTGCGAATGGAAGGCGCAGGGTGGGAACCCATGTGGGGCGTCCTTCGACTGGAACTGCTCCGGCGTCTGCAATCCAGCAGAGAGAATGGAGGAGGTGCACCGGCGATGCTGGGAACATCGCGAGGCTGCTCTGCCACAAGCGCAGGAGTCTTGACAATCAAGGGGTGGTGGCATCCTTGTGCTGCTCCATGTAAACTCATGTAAATTATTCGGTAGACGCAGACGCAGCAGCTGTCGTGCCGTTGTCTGGGTTCTTGGAGCTACAAATTTTTGCCTTCCCACGCCGTGCATTTGCATGAATTGGAGGGAAAATTTGAACAGAGCTACTGCATAGTGAAGGTTTTGCATCGTGTATGTAAGATATCCGATATGTGAAAATGAATGCAGGAAAGCTCTGCAAATTGTGTTGTCATGATTTCCGATATGGTCACAATATCCCTGAAACGGAACACCTGTTTTCCTGAATTCTCAGTGTTGAGTATAATGTTTATTTAGG